CCCCAGCGACAGCTGTGGCGTAGAGCCGGTGGACGCGGCGGCAGGCGAAGGGCTGACTGAGCGGGTCGCTTGCGGGGCGCGTTTCTGGGGTCGGCCTCGCCACGCTGGCTGAGTGCTTTGTGCCTGGAGCCATGTCTGTGAGCGAGATCTTCGTGGAGCTGCAGGGCTTTCTGGCTGCCGAACAGGACATCCGAGAGGCGAGCCCCCTCCTTCCTATCCCCTTCCCCTTCCTAGCTGGGCCACGCCGCGTGGCCCTTCTCCGTCGCTCGGGCCGGGCGGTGGAGCCACCTCCGAGGGTGGTGTGCTTCCTCTCTAGTTTCAGGTTAGGGCGCCGCTCCTCACCTGCTCCTGCCCCCAGTTCTGCGTCTCTGTTCTGATTCTGTGTTCTGGGTCTGGCTTTCTTAGAATCGCTTGCCTCTTCAGTGTCGGTTTTCCTCCTTTTCAGCCCCTATTTATGTCGAAGATTGGGTTAGTGCGTGGGACTCAGCCAGTACACATTTCGTGTATTTGTTATTGCTGTCTTAGAAGCACATGTGACTTCCCTCTTTCAAACTTCTCGTGGCTTTCCATCTCAAATAGGATCAAAATACAGACTAATGTAGTCCACAAGGTCTATCTCAAGTCTCCTTTTATGGCATTTCTTCTTGGAAATGTATGCGTAAAAGGAATATATTTATATTTTCTTGTTGAACACTTTACCTCCTTTTTGTTCTTCTACTGCCCCAAAAAGCTTCCTGCCTCAGGACTCTTGCATGCACTGTTCGCTTCTTGAAATGTTTCTTTCCTGTTCCTTTAGTATTATTTTATATTTGTCTCCCCACAATTAGAGTGGCTTCTTTTGTTATGTTTTCTTTTTAACATTTTAACCTTTCAATAAATTTGACGGTTTTTTAAATAAGTCTCTCCTCCATTATATGCTAGAGTGCCAGAGGGAAGGAGCGGACTGTTTGGTTCTCCCCTATTTGTATGGTGCTGAGCACATAAATATAGTCATTATTTGTAGAATGGATTAATGAAAAATATCCAACCTTTGTATTACATAGTTATATCATAAAGTGCATTCATATGGCTTTGTATTGTACTCTTTGTGTTCTGGTTGGATAATTGGGATGGGTGAGTAGCTAGTATCCTTTGAAGCCTACAAAAAGAGTCTACAGCTTTTTAGTGACTTCCTGAAGGTCTCACAGAGGAAATAAGTGGAAAAATCAGAACTCAAGCCTTTTTTTTTTTTGGTACTGGGGATTGAACTCTGGTCTTTGCCCTTGCAAGGCAGGCCACCAAACCGCTGAGCTAACCCCCTCCCCCCCTTTTAAATACAGGTTCAGCCGTTGTGAAGATCTTTAGTATTTTTAATGTAAATAAAATTGTAGGGGGCCGGGGGTTTAGCTCAGCAGTTTGGTGGCCTGCCTTGCAAGTGCAAGGACCTGAGTTCAATCCCCGGTACCCCCCCACAAAAGTGATAGATTAAATATACTATCTGGTGTGATTGGTATGAGTCTGTGATAATGATTATGTTGAGTTTATCTGATTTTAATTTTTAATTCCTTCTAGGAAATCCGAAAAGTCGTACAGAGTTTAGAACAAACAGCTCGAGAGATTTTAACTCTACTGCAAGGGGTCCATCAGGGTGCTGGGTTTCAGGACAGTAAGTTCTTTGAGTTTCAAGACTTTTATTGAATTTACTAATCTCTTAAATTTTTTTTGGATGTGGCTGGGGATCAAACTCGGAACCTTGCACTTGCGAAGCAGGCAGTGGAACCACTGAGCTAAATCCCCAGCCCCGAATTTATTCATCTCTTATTTGAGTGCCATCCAGAAGATATCCCTAGTTTGCGTTATTATGATAAATGTTCATTATGTTTATGGAGAATAAAAATTGGAGTAGTAGGGGTTTAATCATTTATGTAGGTTTAAAATGTGTTTTGACTTTCTGCTTTTGGATTGTGTAGTTTATTTTTATTTATTTATTTATTTTCCTCACTGAGTTTATTGGTACATTTTAGGTGTATAGTACAGTTACATTCATCATTGGGATCTTGCACCTTTACATGATAGGTCTTAGTTCTCATTTTGGATAGTGTAGTTTAAATAGGTATATTTTATAGTGTGATGGAATTCTGTTGACATTAATTAGTTTCTTAATAACTTTCATATCCTGCAACTTTTATTTGGTAT